GGACTTCTTCCCAAGGACAAAAATTCTGAATTCTAAAAGGTAACAATGATTTCCATAGGTTTGAATTTTTTTATTATTATTATTTTTTTACCATAGCGTCATATTTCAGACCACTTATAGTAGCTGTTGAACAACATCATTTTTACTTAAATAAAAATACTACCCACTGCTTTAGCAGAATCACTTTTCAGATGAAATTTACAACTGCATCACTTATCACAGCAAGAAATCCGTTTTACTAAAAATAATAGAAAGGGACACACTTTGTATAACAGTTAATTTAAATCAAGTGAATTCAAAATGTCTGTGAAGAAGTCTTGTATAATTACACTTTCTGTTTTCCTATATTTCATTTTCTAAAAGTTATAAAATATATCTCAGACCTAACTGACATTTCTGACAATTCCCAACTGTTTTCCCAGACTATTTTTAATGAATAAAAATAATGGAAATTCATTCAAACACATGAGAATGAACTTAATTCTTGTGGTGGTTTTACCATGCTGGTCAGCTAAACACCACAACCGCTCTCTCTCTCCCCGTCCTTAGATGAGGAGGGGAAGAAGTAATGCAAAGAACAACTCACAGGTTGAGATAAGGATAATTTAATTAAAGAGAAATAATAATAATAATTAAAGAAAGATTATTATGAACTAAACAATTTAACTAAAGGGAAAAAAGAAAAAAAAATAAAAAGGAAAGGGGAAAAAGGAGGGAGAAAGGAAAAAAAAAAAAGGAGGAAAACAAACAAATAAAACAAATGAAGGCTATGTGGAAGTGCAGAGGAAATAAATTGCTCTCTACTTCCCACAAATGAGCGATGCTTGACCATGTCCTTGAAGCAGGGCCTCAAAGCACGAAGCCAGTGTTTGGGAGGAGGACCGACGTTTTCACAACAAGAGCCCACCCCTCCTCCCCTCCCCTCTTCCCCTCTTCTTCCTGTTTCCACCTTTTATTGCTGGGTGTGACATCATATGATATGGAATATCCCTTTGGTTGGTTAGGGTCAGCTGCCCTGGTGATGTTTCTCTTCTCACTTCTTGCCCACCCCCTAGGAGGGTTAGAGAGAGGCTCGATGCTGTGCCAGCACTGCTCAGCAGTAGACACAACACTGGTGTGATAACACTGCTGTTCCAGCTACGGGTGCAGAGCACAGCAATGTATGGGCTGCTGCAGAGAAAGTTAACATTCCAGCCAGATCCAGTACAATTCTTAAAAAGTTAGACTTAAAAAGTAGACTAATGTATTATTTCAATATCTATATTTTTAATCTTAGAGGTCATTAATATTTTTCTATGGTGACACTATTTCTTCTAAAGGAATGCTCACAAGGTCCCTGATCCATAAAACTGTATTAATGCAAGCTTAATTTTGAGAACTTGTTAATCCAAATATGGTTAATTCTTTCAATGAGACTACATACTTGTATATTGTTTTTAGCATTGTTATTATTTTATTTTCGGTACATACCAGCTTGATTATAAATTTAATAGACATTTGAATGTTTTAAATTATAAATATCCATTGTGGATGGTAGATTACATATTGTTTTTCTTTGTAATTGTCCTGTTCCGATTGTTCAGAGGGTCATTTGTGAGTCACCCACAGCAAGATTAAGACATAAACAATGTCAAATGTTGATGGTAGTTTATTAATATTGTATAAAAGTATCAAAAGAGAAGCAAGCATTAAGGAAAGAAGAGTTATCAAAAAGGTATTGAAATATAAGTGGAGGTGTCTTATACATTGCAAGAGATAGTCACCACTATGGATCAAGAGGCATCCCAGTGGTCCACTGTTTTCAAAGATGTGATGAGGAGGGTCCTTCATGTCTTGAAAAGGCATTGCCTTTCTATAATGTGCCATTGTGGCCTTTTTACCTGGTTTCCAAGGTAATACGTAGCCAGTTCATCACTATCACTATGCACATTCTTATTTCCAATTGGTTGAGACGGCTGTCACTGTGCAGGGAGACCTCCAGTATCATGCTCCTAGCACATGTTGTACTGGCATTTTACTCCTGCCCATGCATTCCAGTCTGTCCTGGTACCAGCCAATCAAGAAGAGATGTGCTAGCCATAGGGGTGTAGGGATCAGTAGATCTACATTGTTAGGCAGGTAACTCTGCAAACAATGTTTGAGACAGCATAAAAGCCATCTTCTTACACAGGAACCTTTGAGCCTAGGTATGTTTTGTTGATGTTGTTTTGTTTGTTTGTTTGCTTTTTCTTATCTTTCAGTTAAAAACTGAATACCTCAGAAAATTGCCTCAATTTTCAATTAGTGGTTTGTCTGAAAGCATTCACTCAGTCTTTGAATTTCATATTATAAAACCAATTTAAATATAAGCAAATATGTATAGGAACAGCAGCTGTACCGTGGCCAGGAATGGCCTAAACATGTGATTTGGAAAAGTCCTGTTAGGATGCTAATCTATGAACTGAAGAACTGCTCTATTTGGGTTAGTGTACAGGTCAATCCTGTACATGGATCAATCACAAAAGAGTGAACAAAATGACGTGTCATTATTATGTTTTATTGCTGTGTATTTGTTATTTTTCATTGTGCTATTTTTTATAAAAGTAGCAAACAGCATGCGAAAACAGCACTGTGAATTAAACAAGCTTTTACACAGAATGATTCACATCGAATCCAACTCCCTAGAATAACATTCAGCAACCTAAATTACATAACCATCCTCCAATTTCCTGCCTAAACGTTGTACACTTGCCAACTTCTGCACAAAATTGAGGTGAAAGACCTAAAGTTTGCAGAAAAATTTAATAAAAAAACACATTTTAAGTCTATGGTTCAATGAGCAGCATCCCACAGAAAATAAATAAGTAAATAAATAAATAAAATAATAATAACATAAGATCAGGTCCTGAAAGACTGTTAAAACAGGTACATATATGGAGAGGAGAAGTTAGATGTCCTAGAGAACTTTAATTCCAATTTGTCCTAACTTCTTAGAATTAGAATCCCAATAAAAATAATAATAAAATAAAAAAATAAAATAAAATAAAATAAAATAAAATAAAATAAAATAAAATAAAATAAAATAAAATAAAATAATAAAATAAAATAAAATAAAATAAAATAAAATAAAATAAAATAAAATAAAATAAAATAAAATAAAATGTGATCGTATATCTTTCCATCTTCATAATTTGACCAACTCAGCCCTGTGGCCTTTGGTACAATTGTTCTGTTTCAACACAGCTTCCTATTTTTATTTTTATTTTTATTTTTATTTTTATTTTTATTTTTATTTTTTATCATATGTCCAGCAAAAGGTTCTTAAAGTAGCACATAAACATAATTGAATTGGAGCATTCTAATCTCCCCTCTCCCAGAATATTTTATTTTTAACCAGATAATTCTGGAGGTTTGGACTTACATTTATCACCTAACCTCAGGCACTTAATTGCACTAATTAAATTAGGAGCTGGAACTTCATCTACTCTCAAGGAAGCAAAATATCTTGAGAAATAAACCCTCTTTAAAAGTGTCCATGTGTCTCCAATATACACAAAGAAAGAATCTGAAATGGTTAATTTTCAATCTTAGACACAGGAGTAACATAAATTAATTGTCATGACTTCAGAGTCTGTCTTCTGTTTAAATCCATTCAAATGTTAAAAACTGAAGTTTTAGCACTTTTTTCTTTCCTCTGACTAGTAAGCAAGAGGAAAGACCCAAACAAACTAACAAACAAAATATAGCAGGCATTTTGTGTGAAAGATAAGTGGAAGAAAAACCCTATTTATCATCTACAGGAAGTGGGAGAAAAAAAAAGAAAATCACTCTAGTTGTACTGTTCTTCTGGTCTACTCAAGGACACAGGATGACTGACATGCTGGAGGACCAAACTCTGTTCCCTAATAATTCCCTCCATCTACATACCAAATAGCCTGCCTACCTTCTCTAGCCTTTAATAACATGGATGTGTCCTGCTGAACTGGCAAAGGACAGCTAAAGAGGACTGTATTGCTTTATCACTTTATTGTTATATTATGTTACAACTGTGAAAATTTGCTTTGTATTTTAAAATTTGCTTTTGCAGTTCTGAAATCCACTACCAGACAGTTTACAAATACTATAGATTTTTTATTGTTTGAATTATAATCCTACTCTCATTTGCTGCTTTGTTTGAAGTATGTAGATTCATTTGTAGATTCATTTTGCCCTAAAAATGAACTCCTTGGCTACTTTACATTTTTATGCAATTAATTCCACTTAAGGTCACAGTTATGTTTTTGTTTTTGTTTTTGTTTACCAGAATAATGTTTTTTGTTTGATATTCATGTTATTTTTTGTTATATCTCATAAAAGTGATTAATGAAGAGATCTTAATTGTAGACTACAAGCTTTTTATTCTTGTCACTCCTGATGCATAAAAATTTCTAAGTATTTGGAAGACTATTACACAAGACCAACACCTCCCTCTCCACTTCCACTCCTCAGGAATTTTTAGAGAGCGATTAGGTCACTTCTTAACCTTCTTTCCAGACTAGACAACCCAAATGTCCTCAGCCTCTCAAAGCACATGCCTTCCATCCCTGAAATCATCTTTTACCCTTTTACCAGTAACACTGAGGAAATTTGATACATCTCGGTTTCTGGTTCTCTTTCTTCTGTAGTTTTGAAATATCAGTAGAAATATGACTTAAAGCTTAGAGGAGTCCTCTCCTCACTGTATTCTTCATCATGAATGAACAACAAGCTTGTGTACAGCCAAACTCAACAGACATTAGCCCGCTTGAACACCACTTCAGTCAGGGGTGTCTTCAGGACAGACTATGTCTTTAGAACTTTTGGATGTTAATTGAAAAATAAAGAATGATTTACCCATATCTCACTTCAGGAGATTACAAACCAAGAACAAAAGAATTTGGCCTCTGCTCATGTTTTATTCCATAGGGCTTTTGACATTTATTTCATGTCAGAATTAACTAAACAAGATGATTACTGATTTTACTGTACCTTTTACTTTGTAGGTTACTGAATGCTGGAACAGGTTCCCTGCTGAGGTCTTCATGTTTGGGGCTAGATAAAACCTAACTGGACACAGCCATGGACAACCTGATCTACTTCAACCTGCTTTTAGCAGAGACTTGGAATAGACAATCTCCAGAGGTCCCTTTCCATCTCAGTTCTTATGTGATTTCTTAGCTGCTTGGGGCAAGACTGATTTGGAGAATTTCCCTGTTGTACATACATCATTCAGCCATTTTCCTTGCTAGAACCAAAATCACTAATTGTTCTGACAGTTTACAGCATATACACTAAAATAATAGGCATTTATCACCTATGTTTCATAAATCACTTCCTCTACAGTATACTAACTGTATTTCAGTATTCAATATTAACCTTCAAAACTGCTCTCAAAGAACTCTGTTCTCTGAAAGTATTCCTATTCCAAATTAATAAAAATATTCCTTTACAAAATAGTTTCATCTGCTGAAAAAAGCTACTGTTGTCACTGAAACAATTCTTTCCTACTTACACTCCCCAAAATAGACAAGCTTTTAGTAGGTTAATTCAATGTGCCCAATATTTTAGATAATGTTATTATTAAGAACAGCTGATTTTGCACTAGAAGTCATCATTATGTAAAACATCTGTGCCTTTTACTCCTCATGAAGCTTTAATGGGTCTATTACAGATACTAATGACTTCTTCAAGGTATCAGTAGATAATCAGAAAATATTAATGGAACACTGTCCATAAGGACTAAATACAAAACAAAACTCTTTGCTACCTTTTGTTCTCTGCACATCTTCGCTTGTCTATACTTCTATGAAATTACACGTCCTCTGTTTTATCAACAGTCTAAGACTAATGGCCCCACCCATGCCCATTCTTCTCTCACCCACATTGCTACTGAAGTCCCGTGTTAGACATAACAACACTAATTAGGGAAGAAAAAAAAAACAACAAAGGGGGGATCAGAATGTATAACAATCCAGTTTGAATCCAGTTTGAAATCCATTTCCGTGTGATTTGCTATCAGTGCCACTGTCTTCTACAATAAATCTTATTGAGTTTTATTTAAACTGTCTGCAATTTAAGAGAAAAAATAAATTTATATATTTTTCTTTTCACAGATTGGGACTTTTTAGGCCAGGAAGTTTATTTGCTGTATTGGGTTTATGGTGCGAAGTCTTCACAGCAGGGGGCCTACAGGGGTGGCCTCTGAGAAGTTTCAGCCAGCTCCAAAAGGGACCTGCCACTGGCCGCAGCCAAGCTAGTGAGTGACACCGGTTGTGGCTTTGTCAGAGCAAATTAAGAAGGGGAAAAGAAACTGCTGCACAACAGCAGCTGGAAGAGAGGAGTGAGAACCAGCCCTCCAGACACTAAGGTCAGTGCAGAAGGGCAGGAGGTGCTCCAGGCATGCAGCAGCAGTTTCCCTGCAGCCTGGTGGAGCAGGCTGTCCCCCTGCAGCCCGAGTCACACATGGAGCAGACCTCCACGCTGCAGCCCGTGGAGGAGCCCCCGATGGAGCAGGGGGATGTGGCCTGGAGGGGGCTGCAGCCCATGGAGAGCCCCCACAGGAGCAGGTCTCAGGCTGGAGCTGCAGCCTGTGGAGAGGAGCCCACGCAGGAGCAGGGGGTCTGGGGGGAGCTGCCACCCCTAAGGGACCCGTGCTGGAGCAGTTTACTCCTGGGGGATGGCCCCATGGTAGGGAGCCATGTGGGAGCAGTTCTTGAAGATCTGCTGCCTGCAGGCAGCCCCTGCAAGCTCAGTTCAGGAAGGACGGCATTCTGTGGGAGGGACCCCATGTGGAGCAGGGGAAGAGTGACTGTGGAGGAGCTGCAGAGATGAAGTGTTAGGGGCTGACCACAGCCCCCATTCCCTACACACCTGCACCACTCAGAGGGAGGTCGTAGAAGGGAGTGAATCGGGGACAAGATGTTTTTAGTTTGCTTTCAGTTTCTCACTGCTCTAGTATGTTAGTGACATAGGCAATACATTATATTAATCTTCCAGTGCTGAGTCTGTTTTGCCCATGATGATAATCAGTGAGTGACCTCTATGTCCTTATTTCAATCCTTGAGTTCTTTTCATTGTATTTGCTCCCCCTTCTCCTTTGAGGAGAGGGAGTGAGAGAGAGGTTGTGGTGGAGTTCTACTGCCTAGTGGGGTAAAACACTTGCTTCCTTTTTCCAAAGAATGAAAAATATTGTTATATTAAAATCAGTGTAATAGCAACATAAGGCTCAAGACCAGGAGCTGTGTAGGTATTAAAAATCTTGAAAACTTGCTATACAGTATTTGATTAGAAAACTGATGTTTTAGCTTCAAACTAATTCACTTAAGGGTCTCACTAATACAGGTTGTAGAAAATTTTGATGGAAAATATATTTAGAACATCCTGGAAAATCATGTTTGAGTTTTATGTGTTTTGTTATTTTTTTCCTAATTTTATAGAAGGTCTCAGTCATAACGAGGAATTGTGACACAAGTAAAACTGACCCAAGATCTTTCCATGAAAAGCAGAAATGGTTCCCAATGAATTATAGTATGTAACATTTCCTGCCATAGCCAGTAAGAGGTGGAAATACTCAGCACTTGTTTGCAATACTTATAGCTTGCATGCAGAAAACGTTAGGTAACAAAAACTTCAGTAGTTCTTGCCCTCCAGTAGTCTTGTTTGAAGATTCAGTATCAGCTATAGATTTGAGTGTGTTTCACCCTAAATGTGAAAATATTGACTTTAAAATCAACACTACATCTTAAATCTTTGGGTTTATTTCTTTTTTTTCTACATGATTATTAATGATCTGTAGTTACATACCTTCTTCCAGTTTACGTATTTTATCTCTTTTTCTGGATGTATCTAATTCAACTTCTTCACACACCTCACCCATTTTAAAATGCATTACAAATTAACCTTTGACTGTTAATGTATTGCAGCAGGACAATTCAAAATAGGTTTTTTAAGTGTTAGAATTCTAATTCTAATAGTTAAAAATGATTCAGTTTAAAAATATAGTAAAAAAGAATATTTTTACGTTAACAAAATATAGTAATAATAATTCTGGATACAATTCAAGTGTCTGAGGGAATATAAATATGAAATGTAATATAGTTTCCAGTCTTTAACTACAGTCTGCTATGGTTTTGATAAACAGTACTTTTTAATCCAACTTTTTGCAAACCACTAAACTGCATGCTGAGTATGCATGATGTGATTGCTGAGATTTGTCTTAGCCTGACAATGAAGTGGTCAGACTGTATTTCTGTGCAAAGTGTGAGCTAGTGCTGTGATTCATTGCTTGGTTATCTCTGTATATCAGATACACGCTTTTATAATACGAGCAGCCTATTCCCTACCTAAACACATTTATGTTTGATGTTTAAAGTTAAAGCCTCCTTCACAGTTTTCCCTTCTTCCCAAGTTTATGGGTAATATCTAACACAGACACTGGAAGATATAATCTCTAAATAACAAGTTAGATCATAAAAGTAACAGAAAAAATAGTCTACCTCTTAGTTTTTCTTCATCTTTCATCCCTTTAAACTCTTCCTGTAAGACTACGCAGAAACAGTAGATATAAAATTTCAACTTTTTTTTCTCAGGATTTTCAGTACAATTTACAGACATGAAGCTATGACAGAATGTGATCCACTTTTGTGTCTCTTTTCCCTCCCCATTATGATTAAAGGCAGATTAAATTAATGATTTCAGAATACTGTACAGAACAGCTTGAAATCAAGGGAAGAGTACCTACACTCTATTACAGTTCAGGGAAACAAACAAAATGAAAAAACAACAAGCTAAAACTTTACAAGCCAATAACTGCACATGTCAATTCCAATTGTAAAAATCTGTCACTGAATTATATGTGCCCATAATGCTATATATTGAATTAAAAAATAGTTTTTAGAAAATAGATAAATAAAAAAGTCCAGATCCTATTTTCTTTATTTCTGAAGTTTGCAAAATCAAAACATGATTGACTTTCTGGACTCTGTCTCTTTCAATGAGTGTTTGTATAAGCATCATTCAGCAATTTGTGTCTGAAAAGCAGTCTTGCAACTGTGTACTGGATACCAGCAATACTTCCTGATTCATTTGAGTAATTATAAGGAACAGAACATTCAGGGAGCAGAGAATGTTTCAAGTCCTGAAGAAACTACTCAGAACAATAATGTGTAACATTTCATCAGGTCTGGTGTAACAACTTCTTAGTGGAGGTCAGGTTAAATCATATTTAAACCACAATAGGTTAGCAATGCAGTGACTCTTAAAGGAATCTATGACAGTTAAATTCCAAATAAAAAGAAAAACAGGGACTAAACAACAAAATTGTAAAAGACACACAAATATAGGTATCTAAACCTATAGTAGATTACATATCCATAGAGTAAAGTGCATCATCCAATCAATTATTTTCTCATTTAAATCTTAAAACACCCTTCCTGCAGTGGGGGAGAAGGGGGGGGGGGGGGGGGGGGGGGGGGGGGGAGGGGGGAGGGGGGAGGGGGAGAGAAGAAGGGAAAGGGGAAAATATCATTATGCTATATTTTTAGTTTTAGGTTTAGTGGAGAACTTGTTAGTGTTAGGTCAGAGGTTGGACTAGGTGATCTTGGAGATCTCTTCCTGAAATGACAGGATTATTTTTAACTTTAATGCTAGAAGGAACTATGCATCCATGTATTTCATTGGATCACAGCCCAAAGCATTCCCAACAGTAACAGGAAGACACTAATTTGTTTTATTTTTGCTGAGGACCACGATTGAGACAGGTTTCTACTTTTGAAATATTATATAATTTAGACAATCAACCAGAATAAAGTAGGTTGTCCTGAAATCTGGAGGTGCTTATATAAAATTCCAAGTTCTGCTCATGAACATCAAGCTTGAAATGGGAATTCCCTGGGATTTTCTTGTGGTATCAAACATTGCACCATGCCCAGGATGGGGCTGGTCTAAGATATTGAGTGAGCCTCACATCGCTGTCTGGGACTTACAGCTAAAGTGATTTGCCTCCAAATGGTTTTGGGAAATACCTACAGATATTTAATACCTTGCTAATAATAATGTCTGTGATATGGAAATGTCTTTTTCCCAGGTGACATTTTAAAGGTGTTTATAACTGTGCAAGGAGATCACTCATTTGCTAATGATTGTGTATAAAAAATGGTGTATAAAAAACATAAAGTGATTAGATCATTATTTTTAAGCATGTTGCCAATGTTATTTTACTTATGTAGAATCTTCACTTTAAACTAAAAGACGGTCTTTTTTTTTTTTCAATTTGAAAAACTTAAGAACATGTTTTGAAAAGGAATGCATTAAAATTAATCTTAATTTTGAAAATTAATATATTTAAAATAAATAATTGATTTCAGAAGTAACCAGTTTTGTTTGTTTGTTTGCTTGTTTTAGACCAGTGAATGAATTAAAATGGCTTTTATCTTATTAATATTAAAATCCTTTATGTGCTCTGTCTACCAGTACTTTGGTAATTGAGGATTTAGAGGTCCTTTCCCTGATTCTCCTCAGTGAGGCAGGTAAAAACACAGAGAGTCTGTGACTACCTTTGCAAATCCTCTAGATTGTCAATATCCAGTGTTTACTCATTTTGAAAGATCTAGAAGTATAATCGTAGAAAAATTCAAAGGAATGGCTATTTCACAGTCCCCATTCATTGATGAGTTTAAAACCAAAAAAGGACTCAATCTCTGATAACATAGAAGTTCGAGTAGACTTAAACCAAAGATCCTTCTGTTTTTATTCTTTGAAGTACTTATGTTTGAGAAGCTGACAAGTGAGGTCAAGTCATTTTTTCTCACACATATTGATAAGGGTGTGGTGAAGAGCTAGGGATTAGGTTCATGGTTCACGAGGAGAACTACAATGCCTAACTTTAAGTGTCCAGGATTCTGTGATTCTGTTTAAATGCTTAGTAAAAGCAACAGTGAAAAGTAGAGTACTCAATAGGAAACCCTGAAACCAGACAATAAAGAAACGGAAAAAAATAAAGTTTTCTATTTATATCAGTAGCATAAGACATGGAGGTATTAATTTAAATGTACTAGCTAAACATCTGTGGTACAGCTGACTTTTTTTATAGGAAGAATGGTGAGATCATTTTTTCTTTAATATATATTATATATATTTGTAGGAAGCAGAAGAATGAGCAACTACAACAACTATGTTTCAAGTCAGATATAATAAACTTGAATTCTTTTTCACATTCTTCTTTTCCCAAAATGAGAAAAAGGTAAATAGCAGGTCTGCTTGCATCCAGATGATACTTTTGGACTCTTAATTAGAGTGTGAATTCTGGGTTTGTTTCAGGCCCTGTTCAATATATATACTGATTTCTTATAGCATCGGGATTTAAATACTTCCACAGAGCCCTGCATAAAGCAGTTCAACATTTAGATGCTAACAAGATTGATTTTTTGCTAAGTATATGTTTAGATACCTAAAAGTCAAGTGTACTTCTGGTCATCAAATTCTTCAGGTCAGTCTGCACAGATGCATGGATCCATCCTGCCTGGTGCCACAGGAACTATCAAGCAAAGTGTTTCTCTCTCTGTTTTGTCTGATGGACAGATTTGAACAGGATTCTCAGGATATACTTTGTTAGCATCATTCACACCTCCTTAGTGAAGCAGCAGGTCTGAAGACAAGTCAGAAAGTTGACTGAGCAAGTTAGGCTCAAGTCTTGGTGTCAGCAATGAGAGGCCGCCACAATCCAGTAGTGCCCAGGAAAGACTATGGTGACAACACAGATGCCAGGTCCACATGGGTCAGGATTCAGACCAGTGTTTAATTGTACATCCCAAGCAAAGTGGGGCTGGGTCCCACTTATCACAGCTAAATCTGGCCCAGTTCTTTTCACAGCGATCTGCCACACAGTTACTCACTTGCTCCCTATCATAGCAAAGCTGAGTACAGGGAGCCAAATTCCAGGGATGGATAGGTGCGCCCATGATAGTGACACTTGCAATTCTATCTTTCTCAAAGCGATTTTTTTTTCTATTTCCAGATTATAGGGCCCAAAGCAGGTCGAAGTAAATGGTCAGGACAGTCAGATGGAAAGTAGACTTGAAATTCTGCTATGCATTTTTCATTTCTACAGAAAGATTTTCATTTCTACAGAAAAATTTCAATGTTAGAAGTGAGTGAAATTCAGTTTTACAAAAAGAGAACAACGACTCTGTACTGAACCTTTCTTGAATGACTTGAGAAAAAAATGAGGTTAAAAACAAAACCAACAACAAAGCCTTCCTATTACTAATGTGGTAATAGTGCAGTTAGTCTTTTTTTTTTTTCTTTTTCTGAGGCATGGATAGGTAGTTTGATAGTCTGGACCCTCAGATTACCATGGAGTCATTCAGATTTTCTCCAGCCTGAGCTGCAGCACTCTCAAAGATTCCACATTGAAATGCAGCAGCTGAGACAGAGGTTGAAAGTCAAACCAAAGAGGCTGGATTCAGCTGGCACTGAGGTTCAGATTTCCTTAAGGGGCTTGGTGTTTCACAGTTCAGTTCAAGTTGATTAGCATACCATAAAATATGTGAGGAATTTTCTTGTTTTAACTAGTTGATATAACTACTGAATCTCTCTCTCTCTCTCTTTTTTTTTTTTCTCTCTCTCTCTCTTTTTTTTTTTCTCTTTTTTTTAGGATGGGACAGCTACTATTTAAATCCAGCTATCCAGCTTTCATATTTCCACCTGTATTCCCTGTATTCTCTTTGCTTCTATAGGCTGGAGCTTGACCACTGATTTAAAATGTAAGGAGATTTCTGGAGTCTGTTCATCAGCAGCTGGTCCTCTGTATATGTAATTGGAATACCCAGGAAATTTCACAAAGTTCAAGCTGTTTTTCTTTTATTTCCATTTGCTTTTCCCCAACCATTATATTTTCCCAGTGGCAAGAAATCAACAAGACCAGAACAGACCATAATACAATCAAATGAGTAGGTTTCTTTAGTCAGAACAAGTACTGTTCCATCATTCTAGCATCATGGATACTTGGGTATCTCTTCCCCCATCATCCATGCCAGTCTTCATTTTCTTCCTTCTTTCACTTGTCTAAGTAGATCCTGACCATATTTCTTCTCTGATCCTCACTATTTCATGACTGGTTGATTTGTATTGCTTACCATTTTAATGAGTTTAGTTACTTTATCTAATTGCAATGTATTAGTGGAAACAAGAATAAATTTGTGTACAAAAGTCTGGGAAAGTAGAATACTTATGATGTGCCTTAGGCATTTATATGACTTAGGATCTCCATTTTCAAAGTCCTGATGACTATAAGAAGCTATGACTGTCATTCAGGTTTTGATGAAGCCTAAAGTATTACAAGACAGTGAAAAGTAATCAAATAGTTCCACCTAAACTAAATTGTAATTTTTACAGCAATTTCTCCTCATATAAGTACATTTTAACTAAGAATGACCTAATTCTGGATGGCATATTAATGCTTTGCAAGTTCATATACTACTCATCTGATTACTGCTATTTGTAATGATATGGAAAAAACAAACAAACAAAAACACTGTGTGATGTATAGAAATACAGGAATAAATATTCTGCAATATGTTATTTACACAGAAGGTTCATACACCTTTATACATTTTTATTTTACAAAAGTAATACTTAGGCTTTTTTTCTGAACATTATGGGAGGTTGATTTGAAGACAAAAAATAGCATTAACATTTTTCTATTCATTCATAGATCAATCGTCATATTGAAAATACATTATTATTCATGGAAAATCATTGTGTTTATAAATAGATTATAAGAGGTTAAAATATCAAGAGTGTGTTACAGGCTCAAGTATCATGTATTACAGATAATTATAAGAATATAACTAGAAGGTTTTACAGTTAACCTATTGATCTATTGAACTCTATAGCAATTTACTGTAACTTGCTGACCACTCAGCAAGTCATATATAAATATTTTATATCATCTACATATGTCTATTAAAAATACATATTTTAAAATAAAACACAAATCAAAATAGTAAAAATTATTACTCAGGACTACCTAGGTTTAATTAGTTACTATTGTCACTTGTGAGCTCTGATTTATGATCTGGCATAACCATATGATCTGTCATACCATATGACGTCATCCTGATCAATAAAAGCCAGAGGGAAAGAAAGAGGAAGGGGAAAGCATTTGGAGCAATGGGATTTGTCTCCACAAGAAACTGTTATGTATGTATGGACACCTAGTTTCCTGGAACTGGCTGAAGTGCATGCTGGTAGGAAGTAGTGAATTAATGCCTTAATTGTACTTTGCTTGCATGTGCAACTTTTGCTTTACCTAGCAAACTGTCTTTATTTCAACCTGTGAGTTTTCCCGCTTCTACTTTTTTGATTCTCATCCCTATCCTTCTGGGTGGGGAACAAGTGAGTGGTTGTGTGGGGATCAGCTGCCTCTCAGGGTTAAACCACACTAGTATAATCACTACTGTTTATCATTAGACTGAATCGTTTCAATAGATTTTTGTCCTTATTTATTTATTTTGTATTCATTGGCAATCATTGACAACTGACAGTCATTATCAGTGATGTTCCCCTTTTGCCTATTCTGACTGAAGATTAGAAAATAAATATGACAAATATTTTCTTATCAATACACTTTTTTGAAAAGCGCAAAGAAAATTTTGAGGATTGTGTTCCTTTGTTTACTTAAGTAACGAACACAGCAGAGCTTTCCCCTCCCCACCACACATACACAGACAATTGCTTCACTTGGGTGAAGGAAAAAATTACTGACATTGTTCTGCTCTGAAGCCTAGAACTGTAAATCTGACTGTGTGCAAAAGCAGGTTTATGGCCCCTAACAGCACTGTAAGTGCTTATCCATAATTTCTAATGATGTCTGTTGGACTTTACTCTTGGGATCACATATCTGTTTTAAAATGAATTTCAGAGATTCAACAGTTTTTTGGTCTAAAGAAATTGCAGATCCACATTCATTGTGCATATTTGACCTCCGCACCTCCACTCACCATCAGAGAGAGCATGAGGCTGTTTTGTTGCTTTTATTTATTTAATTTTTTTTTTGGTCAAAGTCAGTAAAACTGTCATTCATTCTATTAATGAGAAATTCAGCTATTGATCTGATCTTTACTCCACTACTATTGATTTCTGCTCTTTGTTTTGTCATTTGGGCCTAGAAACATCAATAAGTTATAGGTTGAAAAACAGAAAGTCAATCATTTGTATTCTCCTTAGAGCTTCTGAAAACTGAATTTATCTTCATATTCATTGATATCTTACTATGAAATTCTGAGGCAGTAATAAGGCAGTTTCCAGTTATTCTGGTCTTGAAAAGTTTATGATTATGAAAGGTATTTTTTCTTAAAATTAATTTTCAGATTAAGAGTTTCAAAATGAAAATAAAGAACAATTCATAACTAAATATCTGTAAGTTTCTTTACGTAGTATATCTTTTAAAATAGATTAAAAATGTAACTCCTCTGAAATCTCATAGCATACCATTTTACATCCATATATTAATACCTGAATTTCAATTATGTGTTTTTCTGGGTTCTTTCAATACAAAAAAAAAAAACCAACCAAACAAACAAACAAACAAAAAAAAAAAACAGTAAATAATACAAAAGTAGAATATAAAAATAATTCACAGGAAACTCTATCAACTACAGATTTCAGTGAGCTATAAAAAAGGGGGCTTGAAACATAAAGGGTGACTTCAGAGACTTTTTTTATATATATAAATTTATAAAATATCATTTTTAGATTTCATTTTTCTATTTGGATCACTAGGTACATATCCACTTTAAGGAATCCTGAGTTCTACGCTAGATGATCTCAGATTCAGAGGCATGCTTAGGTCATTAGTTTTTCAAGTAACATTTTTTCAGGTCACTAGATTCTCTGTGTGTCGTTTTTCATGATATTTTTTGCTCAATACTTCTACACATGGCATTCAGCTGAGTCCTCTGGGTAAACTAACAAAGAAAGGCCAACAACATTTGGGCAGCTGTGTGTATAAGCTATGTTTCCAAAGAACATTAAGTATCTTTTCATTTGACTAAATACAGTTTCAAATATATACTTTGTAGGAAGATAGCCTGATAAAGTCATATGACAAGAAATAAGGGAGCTACTCACTTGGCACAGCAGATAAAATGAAGAGTAGTAGTACAGCAGGATAAAAATAAAAAATAAAATATCATTATTCAGGACATACCCCAGTCAACTAGAGTATTCCCATGGGTTTCAGAAACTTCCTGTTTGTTGTGCTGACCAGCCTGACAGATGAGGGGAGAGCAATGCATCTTGTCTTCCTAGACTTCAGTAAGACCTTTGATACTGTCACAGAATCACAGAATGGTTGAGCATTTACTTTTACATTACTTTTAATATTAATATATTAGGTTTCCACTCCAGTCTGCTAGTGGTTGTTAAAGAATAGATTTTAGAAAGATCTGATCACAGGAAAAGGAAAAGAGACTACAAATTGCATGTCCAGCAGTGAAAGATCATACTTTTTTATTTGGCTAATTCAGATTCTTCACCTACAAAGCCAAGGTGCATGTACAATAGACCTTTTTTTTTGTTATCAAAACACCTTTATTAATTCATCACAATTAAAACAGTTCCCAGTTTTCACCAGCTTCCTCTCACTTTCAGTATCCCTTTCTAGTCTCCTCAAAGTATGAGCAGGGAAAAATCATGATTAAATTAGCAAGAGAAATACACATTATCTACACATTGACCATTCTTGCTGATTTTTCAATGGAGTGCAAAGAAAGAAGTCAACAAGTTTAAAAAAAAAAAAAAAGGCGCTTAAATCATAAAGATTTCTTTCTCTAAGTCCAGGATTAGTCTTCATTTCATTTCAAACCACTAAGAATTGAACATTTTAAAGGTTTACATGTGGAAAAATGAATTCTTAGATAAAACACAAATTAATATCAATTTATTATCTATGTTAAAACATGTTTAGAGATGGGTAATTAAAAGAAAAAGTTCTTATCATGCTTCATTTACATAAGAATTCTCAAATTCAAAGTTCTGAGAAAAAAAGGACTCAGTTAAAATGAAGTCCCTTGAGAGACTTTCACTGAACATCAAGAAAGCCTGAAGATGAAGCCTTTAACAGAGGAAATGCCCATCCTTAAGGCAGTTCTGGTGAAATTTCAGCACTGATCTCAGTTTTGTGACAAATATAACGTGGTTGAAATTAATGACTTTTCACAGTTATCTTCCTTCACATCAGAGGTCCTGGAACAGCAAGGAGCACAGAAAATATTACGATGCATTTTACTCATATTTTCATATTTTTCACTTTCTTCCAACTCTGTTACTTTTGTCATCTAAAAACCAGATAATATTAAATTCATCTAGAGAAACAGAATCACAAAACCCTTTTATCAAACATGAAGATTAAATGAATGTAAAAGTATAAGTGACATTTAATCAGTTTCATTGTTTAAATATTATGCGTAGCTCTCAAAACATAATCAGCTTTTTGTCAGTCACTGCACAAACTGATTGACACAGAAACCTGTTCAAAAATTGCTTAATGTTGTATATGTATAAAGATATAAACATATATCTTCACAAAATAGTGATGAGATCACTGAGCTTTTAATCCCTCTGTTCCTTAATTAGAAGATGTATTAGTGTAATCGTAGAATCATAGAATGGCTTGGGTTGGAAGGGACCATAAAGATCATCTAACTCCAACCCCCTGACATAGGCAGGAATGCCACCCACTGGATCAGGCTGGCTAAGGCCCCATCCATCCTGGCCTTGAACACCTTAAGATGCATCCACAGCTACTCTGGGCAACCTGTTCCAGTGCCTCATTACCCTTACGATAAAGAATTTCCTTTTAATATCTAGTCTAAATCTGTCCTCTTTTAGTTTAAGACCAATCCCTCTTGGTCTATCATTATCTACCTGAATAAAGAGTCCTTTTCCACCCTTTTTACAAGACCTCTTTAGGTATAGAAAAGCCACAGTGAGGTCTCCCCAGTGCCTTCTCGTCTTCAGGCTGAATAACCCCAGCTCTCTCAGCCTTTCTTCAGTGGAGAGGTACTCCAGCCCTCTGATCATCTTTGTAGCCCTCCTCTGGTCTCACTCTAACAGGTCCACATCTTTCTTTTGCTGGGGTCCCCAAACCTGTACGCAGTGCTCCAGGTGGGGCCTCATGCAGATGGGGCAGAGCAGAGCAGAGGGTGACAATCAACTTCCTTGATCTGCTGACCTTGCCTCTTTTGATGCAGTACACAACTGGCCTTCTGGGCTGCAAATGTGCACTGCTGGCTTGTGTCAAGCCTCTCACCCACCAAGTCTCTCTTTACAGGGCTGTTCTCAATGAGTTCTTCTCCTAGTCTGTACTCATGGCTGGGATTGCCCCGACCCAGGTACAGCACCTTGCACTTGGACTTCTTGAACCTCATGCAGTTCACATTGGTTCACATTGGTGTGCAGTTCATTTTCTTCAGCCTGTCCAGGTCATTTTTTTCAAAAGTGGGAGAATGTTGTAAGTTTTAAATGGTAATGGTAGAACGGTTTGTTTGCTCGTTTGTTTGCTACAGTTTTTAGTTCAATTAAATTTGATAAACATTAATGAAAAGCATGGGTGGGGACCTAAAATGCAAATGACCTGAATCTTGAGTTTTTTAATTGTATCATGTCATTTTAGACCAGGAAGTTAGGGCTGAGAATTATCAAGTATGATCCCAAGAGAAAATGATCAGCATTACTTATGAAATACGATACATGCTTTCAAACTGCTTGTAAACTATTTCCAACATAAATTAAATCTTGAAGTATTCAAAACACTACTTTGTGGGTTTTTAAGTCATTTGAAATAGATCTTATTTCCTGATCCATATCCTCACATTTGCTGGTATACACATGTGCCCTGTTAAAGATATCAATACTTTTTCTCTTATCCTCTCTCCCTGATTTGCAATGTGATGTGTGAAACAGATAAAATGGGACAAGACCACCCTCTTTTTGCTATTGTGAATTCATGAAATTGTATTTCAGTTAAATAGATTTGGCATCATTTCTTAGGAAAGCTATTAATCTTTCTCTGCCAGGAAAAAAGATTTCAGAGAGAAATTTCCCTTAAGTCAGTGGGAGTTGTTGTTATCAAAAATTTGTCAGCAATCATCTGACGATTATGATTTGACTTGCAGGGGAAAAATAAAAATTAAAAAATTAATGAAAACTACTGTGACACTTAGAAGTAATAAACTGCTGTTATTGATTAGTTTAACTTTTTTTTTTGGAGTGAAAAAAGTTTATCTATCTATTCATAATACATATATGTTTCATTAAAAAATAAAAGTGCTAAAATCATTGCTACTGGCTGTTTTCTTATAATTATTTATGTGACAATTATATATCTATAGTATTCTTATTTCCACTTTGTGTCTTTATGGACCATATCATTCTTCAACCATTTTTATAATTCCTTACAATTACTACAGCTTACTAATAAGCAGTTTAGTTTTATTTTGTGTTCTTAACTCTTATTGAAAAATCAAGGTCAGCTTTTATGATCTTATAGGAATCATAAAGGCTTTCTTCTGTTGTAATCTCAATCAGAATAGGCTGAATTTCCAAAACAAAATTTCACGGAAGAGCCAACATTGGAATGAGCCAGGAGTCAAGGTGAGCACAGCACACTGCATCAAGATATGCTGAGAGAGCTGGGAATGTTCATCCTGGAGAAGAGAAGGCTTTGGATAGACCTTATAGCAGCCTACCAATACTTTTTAAGTCTACACGAAAAGCTGGGGAGGGAATCTTTGTCAGGCAGCATAGGAATAAGACAAGGAGTAACAACTTTAAACTAAAAGATGGTTGGTTTAGATTAGACATAAGATAATTCTTTACTCTGAGGGTGGTGATGCACTGGAACTGGTTACCCAGAGAAGCTGTGGATGCCCTATCCCTGGAGGTGTTCAAGACCAGGTTGGATGGGGCTTTGGGCAAACTGGCCTGGTGGAAGTTGTCCCTGCCCATGCCAGTGGAGCTGGAAATAGATGATCTTTAAGTTCCCTTCCAACCCAAATCATTTTATAATTCAAGGAATCTATGATCCAGGTTTTATATCTGAATACACTAATAAGACACATAAATTATTTGTTGAGAAATGTAACAGAAGTTCTTTTTAAAGTAGAATATTTAATGTTCTCTCTTACTAGATTATGTCTAGTAAGAATAGCTATATTTCTGAGAAAATTGTGTTGCCTAGTATGCTGTCAGTGTTGTTGTCAGCAACAAGATTATCTTGTCAAAGAATGTACCATCAGCATGCAAACAACTTTCAGTTCTGTCTTTACTTAACTCAAGCACTATGGTCCTTTTCACTGTCTTCAAGTTTCAAAATGCTGTTGAGAAGACAGCACTTGATTTATTTAATTACAGACTACGCAACAGTTTTTCAAAATGCACATTAGGGGCTGCCAAAATATTAGTTTCTTAGAAAAAATAAAACAAACAAACAAACAACAAGAAAAAAAAAAAAAAAAATTAGTCCTCTTTCTCCACTCTATAAAATGACCACATCAAACTTAAATTGCTGTTTTCTTGTACCTCAATTTTTACTTTTATTTGCAATCACCTCTACTGCTATTGGCAATACAGAAAGGAAAGAAGACAGCATTTATACAAAACATATATCTTATCACAAAGCACTGACTCTGTATCAGTTCTTTCCTTCTTAAATTGCTTCTGTATTCTACCTTATACGCTCAAAGAGGGAAGGAAGGAAGGAAGGAAAAAGAAATGAGGAAAGAAGGAAAGAAAAAGAAGCAAAGAAAGAAGGAAAGAAAGGAAGAAAGAAAAGGAAGAAAGGAAGGAAGGAAGGAAGGAAGGAAGGAAGGAAGGAAGGAAGGAAGGAAGGAAGGAAGGAAGGAAGGAAGGAAGGAAGGAAGGAAGGAAGGAAGGAAGGAAGGAAGGAAGGAAGGAAGGAAGGAAGGAAGGAAGGAAGGAAGGAAGGAAGGAAGAAAAAGAAGAAATCTCCAAAATCAGGTTTTTGTATTTTCTCACACACAAAAAGAAAGCCAGTGGTGTGTTAAACAAACATGTTCATTTGTAGATATCATGAAAAGCAGATAAGCTGCATCCTAGAGAGTTATCCAGCCTTGGCAAAAGGATCCGGATTTCAGTAATGTAGTTTTTTACACTGAGAATTCTTGAGGCTGATGTTTGCATTGAATGACTGATCAACTATCATCCTAGTTGCTTGGAACAGTATTTTATGAAAGACTGCAAAAATCCAGGGGTAGGATGCTACTACAAGCATGTGACTGATGAATCTTGGGAAGGTAGACAAAAGCAGAATCCTGATTAAAAGAAGTGTTCTAGTTTTTATCATGTTTAGCACAGTTGTGTTCAGTTGTATTGCTCCAGTATATAGCCTGTCTTGCCTCCCACAGTGCTCCTCCCAATTATTTTAATTAATTAATTAATTAATTTTGTGCATGCTTTGCTTTCTTCTTGCTAGTTTACTGTGGAAAATAGCAGAGTTAAAGGGGGAGAAAAACTGGTGAGGTTAAGAGAATATGTCAGTCTGAGAGCAGGAGCACTCTAGTTCTACTTAAAACATCTAAGACAGGTTGCAGTAATGCAATCTCCTTTCTCTCAAACCTCATTTTTTTCTCTATGAGGCATTTAATCTCTTACATCTTTTTTCTCATTCATGACCTGGTATCCAATTACAGTAACTATTCTTGCTTCCTCTTGCCAGCTATATCTTTTCAGTATTTATCATTTTCAAATAGAATCTCTTACCACAGACTTTTTCATATGTTTTAGACTTAAAAGGCCAATTAAAATTCACAGGGGCTAATAAGCCTAAAATTTTTCATTGGTTTTAGCAATTTTCATCACAGTCAGTTTTTATATGCAAATACAAAATTCAGATTGATATTTCTGAGTTAAGCAAAAAACATGGGCATTAAATGCTTATGATTCTTACCGAAATATGCCCCAGGTAAAATGTTTGATTCACTGTAGCTGAAGATCAGAATGATTAGAATATTAGCCTGAAATAGCTATTTTTAGTGCTTCCTTTGTCATTGTAAAAACTGCATACATGTCTACTTTTAAAAGAACTGGCAATTCTGACAGATGACTGTTAAAAGAAACTACCTGCCTCTGTATTTTTTGTAGGTACTAATTGCCATGTTCAAGGTAGATGAGCTTACACATGCCAGTAATATGTGTATTAATTTAATGTATGTGCAATAATTGTTTTAAACAATTACTATTTATGCCACTTTAAAAGTGGTGTTCTGGGCTGCAGGTGTTCATAAGGTAAAGTACATTGAACCAGGTACAATCAGCTGCATTTTCAAGAAATTTGGAATTCCAGTGGACAGAGAGACTGATATATTCTTAATGTGCAAAGATGGCAGTGATCATGATATTTGCCCATCTGCATTTCAGGGAATACGCATTGTGCTTTAACATGCAAGGCAGCTCCCAACAATTTTCATTCTTAAGAGTCAGGAAAAAAAAATAAAATAAAATAAAAAAAAAGGATGCATTGGTTCATTTAAAAAATCTGAGAACAGAAATGACAACCTAGAAATTGTAACTAAGGAGTTTTGATTACAGTCTTATGATTTCTTTTTATTTTTTATATAGCATTCTTTAGACTCTCGTATGCATCTTTTCCATTAAATTTAATGTTCATGAAATCAATGTATGAAAGTTAAAACCACTGGAAAAGAAATAGCTTTAAAATGAATTTGAAACTGTCATATTAGAATTTTAATTTACATTCCAGTATGTACTGTACTTTAAACAGTGACAACAAATGATAACAATAACTACTACTAATATTAATAATACATTAACTAATACTATAATATATTCTCCAGCTGGAGGTTGAGAGAAAGAGAGACAGTGCCAACATCCAAAGAGGAATACAAGCAAAATATAGTGATAATTTCTGTTATTGGTAGCAAGGCAGATGTCAAAAGACAATACAGAAAAAAAATATTAAGGAGTCACAAATATATCTGAATTGCATAGATTTTTTTATTTACTTCAGATAAGGAATGTTTACAAGAAAACACAAAATGAAATTTATTTTAACTTGGTATGTCAGGAAAAAAAAAAATCATGAATATGCAGACCATGAAATTCTTAAACACGAGTAAATTGTCTTTTTGTTAAGGTGGATGAAATATTTCCACTTTTTTTTTTTTTTTTCTTTCCCGTGGTGAAGGTGATAAGGGCTTTATTTGTCCCCTCAACTCATTCTCTATCTATCTTAGCTCAGTCAATAAAAATAAGCCTGGGAAAAAAAATAACTGAGAATGAACTAATTTATTTTATTTTATTTTGTTGAATGTGACATCAAAATACAATTCATTCAATTTAAAAATGCTTTTATTTTAATCTAAAACATTTTTTGAAGCTCCTAAGGAAAATAAAACATTGTTTTATTCAGAAAATTGCAAGTGGGGAAGTGATAATTATAATCAATTGCTTAGGGATTAAAATGCTTCATTATGAAGATATATTTTTGCTATTTTGCACAACCCAATATCTCAGAAAAACACCCTACCTGTGTATACAGTACTTAGCACAGAGTTATTCTTCTCAATCATAGAATCATAGAATCATAGAATGGTCTGGGTTAGAAGGGACCTCAACGATCATCTACTCTGCCAAGGGTTCCAACCTGTCTGCCATAGGTCACCAGGGTACTGAGGTTGCTTAAGGTCTAACAATCTAACCTGGTCTTGAACACCTCCAGGGATGGGGCATCCACAGCCTCTCTGGGCAACCTGTTCTCACAGGCTCACCACCATATGAGTGAAAAATTTCCTTCTAATCTTTCCTGTTAACATTGAGCCATTCCCGGAATTGCTATTAAATAAAAATAAAATGACATAATATTTTTTTCCAATAATTCTTGCAACAGTGAAGAGAGATGCCATTTAGAGAGCAATTTGTTACCTGTTTTGTAGGTTTTATTTAAAAAAAAATATTTCTGAAAAAGGTAAGTACCAGGAAAGATTTGTGTCATAAACATCTGAATTATCTCACATACTAACAGATTGCAATTTCAAGAGGAAGCACAACTGCATGCCATCTCACAACATCCCTCATGAATCTCTCATCCTTGCTGAGGTCTCCTTTCATAGTGTTCACCTTTAAAATCTGACTCTCTTTGCCACTCCATAATTTATATGATATACATTAGAATTACTAATAAAATATTATTCTAAAAATGAACCCTATTTCAATCTGAGTTTTATCAGCAGTTTAAAAATAGTATATTAGAGCTTAAAATGTTAATTTACTTACAGAAAGGTGGTATGTAAAAGATTTATTTTGTAATAAACATAATGTTTTCATTTGGAAACAAAACAAGTAACTAGTCAGTGTCTGAGTATTTGTTGAAGGTTTGAGTAACTTATAAGACTTTGAACTTTAAAAAAACCTTGTCTGCTACAAGCAATTTTCCAACCATTTTAAACAGCAATTAATATCTTTATTATGCACTTAGGATACTGTGTAAGCCAATTTCTCATTATATTACTGCAGCAGCATGCAGCACATCTCTGTACAGCATAGCATCAATAGGCTTTAACAGTAGGAGAATAGCTGTAAAAGAATAGCTGAAAACTCTGTTTCAGAAAAGTCTGATATTGCCTGTATAAATTGAGTTCACATATATATAATATAGTAATAATAATAATAATAATAATAACCTTTAATGTGGTGTGTTTTGTTTTTTTTCCGAACTACCTTAATTAGTCATTGCAGTTTCCCAACATGAAAGATAGGTAAGACATATTTAACATTGAAAAGAGTGGTCAGAAACATCCTTCTGTAATTCAGAAATGTTGCTAGAAAAGTTTATGTGTTAATTCAAGGGTCTTTTCCAGGTGAGGATCTTTGATGTAATGGTTTAAATGGTTGCAAAAGTATTTCAATTACTTAAATATATTTATGTACATTTATAATCACGTAACCTTTTCAACTCACAAGACCCCTAGTAATCATCTAGTCTGTCCCTCTGCTTACAATGGAGATGACTTCTATCATAAAATATGGGAAATATATTTCTGCATCTATTCTTGATCCTGAATGAACCCCTTTTTAAAAGTTTTCCATGGCTATATTTTACTAGGTTAGAGTTCAGAGTCCTGGTTGGCTGAAAAAGAGAACATGAAACTAAAATTCACATAGATATTTGACTTTTCCACAGCTATCATATTCTGAGAATATATTATCAAATACATATTTATTTACAGGTTTGTTTTGCTTTTACAGTGTTCTAGGTTTTAAACAGACTACAAAAAATGTTTCCTCCTTTCACTCCTCTTCTTCTTCCCATTAACACAATGTATGTCCTTTAATTTTAACATTCTGGTTGTATGATTCATCTCAACATGTTGCAGTAATTGCTACATTTTCTCATTTTTCCTTCAGCATTACTGATTCAAATTCATCCTATTTAGTACTCATGCTCTCAGACAATAGGAAAGTATAGGTAAAGAAAATCTGCTGCTTCAAAAGGATTTAGAGCTTAGAAACGGACTTTCTGCAGCTTTTGCTCTATCTTTCAGAATCTAAATTTTCAATAAATTAAATAAATAAATATGCAAAATCTTCACCGTGTTAACTGCATTCAGAAGTGTTTAGAAGAAATCTTTATTTTTAACAGAAGAGTAAGTTCTTCACATTCATCTTATTGCATTGTTAAATACAACAGTGTAATTACCTACACTGATAAATGAAGAAATGCTGATTGTCATAGCAGAACCAATAGGCTATGGCACTTATCCACTGTGACTAACTGTATCTGCCACCTCTGAGACATCATTCATTTGAAAATGTTTCTTAAGCATAATAGAAGCTTTAACTACACAGGGATACAACATTTTATTTTTAAAGGTTTGATTTTTCTTAAAGGAAAAATAACAAGAGAATTGCAAGTTTAGACAACTGAAAACTGGCACACTATCCTAGAAAACTGTCTAGTGAAGATTGTTGAATTTAGCATATTTTGGCTATCTAACCTGCATCTTAATAGAGTCTGATCAAAGAAATACAGAACAAGAAGCAGAAAATATAAAGCTTCTCCATCAATTATCTCATATTTTTTGTTAACTCTATACTTTTTTTCTGGAATTTAAAATTGCTTATGTAGCCACAAATACATAAAAAGACCCAAAGTAGAAAACAGGTAGAAAATGAACTACTGACTTTTCCACATGTTCCTCTCCCCTCTTGGGGTTCACTAGCAATTTGAACTGTAATAAGAGTTTGAAAGCTCATTCTTAAGCAATAAGCAATGACAACTAGGAAGCAAAGTACAGGGAGGAAAAGGAGATGGTATTACAGGAACATAGTGAGATATGTTTTGAGTGCAGGGACAGATCATAGCTGAAGTGAAGTGGGATGTAACAGGCCAGGTCCTTCCTTATACAGTGATAAATGGACCTGTGACAATTTTTCCCATGAGAGATGAGGGGTCCAGTGGATGAATGACATTATAAGTTCTTAGGCTGTTTGGCTTGTCAGATGCCCAAACTGATAGGAAATGAAGCATCACTAAAAAGAACTTCTTCCTAGCTTACTTTTTCAGTATAAGCCTCACCTTATTGATATCCTTACTCTTTCTGCTCATTCACGATCATCAAGGCTAAATGCTTCCAGAAGAACAGTCCCTTCATACAGACAATACAGCAATGCACTGTTCCACTGGATTACTGTAGGTCTTGTGCACTTTTAATATGATATGATTCTGTTTTGCTGTTTGTCCTCTGTAGGCCTCTATTTTATGTACTTTCAACTGGTGTCTCTTCTAGGGTTGAGGAAGAATTATTCTATCAGTGGTGGCTGACAGTGATAAATTATCTCTGTCCATAAGGTCTGGAGCTGTTTCTGAACAAAATGTGAAGAAAAAAAAAAAAAAAGCATTATCACAGTGAGGCACCAGGACCTATGCCCAAAGCTATACAAGAACAAAGATGAATAAAAAACATGCTATTAATATAGCAAGAAATACAAATCCTGCTTACGGAGCTAGAGTTCCAGTTTGAAGCTCCTGGAGAGGAAAACATAAGCTTGAGGGTGTTTAGTTCTGCCATGGAAGACAACAGATCCTCCATGTATTTAGGCAACTGTAGACGTACATGAAAAACCAATATCAGTACATTTGCTTCCTTTCACATAATAAAAACGCCTTATAAGAAAATATGAGTCAGTCTCTTGTTCTTACACAGTGAGTAATGAATTTGTCTTTCTGTTAAAGAAAATAAGGGGAAGAGAACAGGAAAGGCTAGACACAAGCTGGAAAGTTTGGTGATGTTTGAGATGATCAGAAACTTCCCGATTCCCAGACTAGGTGTCTCACTGCACCCAGAACATTTAAGAATTCAATAATTAATTAATAATAATTAATAGCTTTGTCAGCTAGACTCCCACTAGAAAGATATTTCATAAGTGTATGAAATGTATGAGATGATGATGGATGAGATGAACCATGTTTGAGAGATGACCAACCTTGTCTTGACACTAGAGACAGCTTAAACTTTTAACACGTCTAAGTATAGATCAGATTGTGTCTGTTTAGGAAACATGTCCATATTAATCAGCTGAATGTTTCCAGAAGGTACTCTATTTGCATGTGGTGACTCCATGCAACCACACTTTCAGGCATTTTTGTTTTTAAAAACAATATAGTAGCATGCCAGTTACTTGTTGGGAATGGACCATGGCCAATGTTAATTCACTAGCTGCACCCAGGAATTGTTTCAATAGTACTACTTGGCATAAACCAAAACCATGTCAGGGACTATGTTAAAAACTTAAGTGTGACAAGTCAGGTACCACTGCATGGGAATCTTGCTTGGCACTCTGCAGTTTTAGTGTACAAAATCAGTCCATACATCTATTTCCTTAATCTGTTTAGGCCACTTTAAAATGCTGGGATTTTTAATGGATGAAGGCACAATTTTAAGTTTTCACCTATGAACTATTCATCCATCACTTTTACATTAATAGCTGCTAGGCAAAGTAACACTCTATATAGATAAGTGACAAAAGACAGGCCTCCTGCTGAAACATTCAAATGTTCTAAGTCTACTTTTAGCTAGTTAAATATCTAGCGGTTCAAAGAATACTTCATCTAACTAAACTAATGCAGCAAAACAGCAGGTGGTAAATGGTAAAGATTTAGATCTAGCTCACTAGTATAAAATCATCCCTACAGCCTTTATGACTTTTGGTAAAAAATAATAAAATTAGAATATAAATTAGCATATTATTTCAAAATAGAAGTATTAGTAGTTGGAATTCCAACTCTGTTGCATATTTGTCATGACAGTGTCAGATTTACATGAACTTTATTTTAAGCAAAGTTGAAACAAACAATATTGAAAAAATCTAGCTAACAAAGCACTGTTGTCCCATTGGAAATATCCCTGTTGCTAAATCTCCCATTGCATTTTTAGTTAATAGTGACATGGAGTGTTCATTATCATAAATCCCAATGTTTTATCTTGAATTGTATGTCATATAGAATGTCATATTTCACAAAGTCATACTAATGTGTATTATAATATAGTAACAATGGCATGTATTCAATCTTGATGAGAGTTTTCTTCAGAGAAGAAAAATATTCATGTTTAACTTTTAGTAAAAGTCAAATAAAAGGTGTTTAAGTGGTGCTTGTAATTAACATTAAAGACAAGCAGTGGTGAGTGCAACTGTGTATGAAGACTTGGAATGATCCTGTTTCTGAGTTTTTCTTGCAAAACTATAGCTTTGTATTTTACTAGGAACAAACAAGCAAACAAACAAACAAAAAAAATAAAATACATTTCCTGCTGCTTTCATGGACCTGGTGATAAAGCTGGATACCAAGACAGGGAAAAGGCTGTGCAGGTGGCCCCAACACTTTTCCATATCAACGACCTATTTCTATGGAAACAGATATGTCATTGATTGAGTTTATTCCCCTCAAGTCACTGCCTCACTTTTTCTTTTTTTTTTTTTTTTCTCTCATCTACATAAAAACAAAGCAGTGCAAGAAGAGGTTTTCTAGCTTGCATTTGCTTTTGCAATACAATGCAATGAGATCAGTCAATGAGCAACAAAATAACTTTGTATAATTAACTGCATGTAAAAACTTGGTATAAACAAAAATATAAATCCTTAGCCATCCCCCATCCAAACCAACATACAAATATTTCCATAGAAATAATAATTTATGCATATATTTGCTATTATGACAGAATTTTAAAATGCTAGCTACCAGTCATTTGACATGCAATGTATGGATACACATACATTTCATTTATATCTGGTAGGTATAGTTTGATGTGTTAAAAATATTTTTATTTTTATTATTTTGTTTTCCCTATGATGCTAGAAAGTTTATTCATATTTATGAGTTTTTCTTCTTCTTCTGTACACTCTTCAAGTCTTCATTATATATATTATTGAAGTATTTAATTATTTTAAAAATTCATAAGGAATTTAAACATCTTCACATTGTTCTTTACAGCTTAGTTTACACATTGCAAACTAGTTCAGGGAATTAAAACAAAACCAAAAGACAAACAAAACCAAAAAAAAAATCTTACTAAAATCAAAATTAATCACCTGAGATAGCCCAAGTATATGTACTGAATTATTTCTTATAAGCCCAATGATATGGCAAAATCAATAAATCATGCTCTCACAGTACTATTTTTACGCTGGTGTATAGTTTTTTATATTATTTAATTATCTTCAAAGAACTTTTCCATGTTAGGAAGAAACATATAAAACTATTTAATCAGTAAAATATTTCCCTTTGATGTTATCAATACCTCTTTGCTTTTATCAGGGTATGAAATGTTTATGGTTAAACAAAGCTTGCTGGAAGTTTATTTGATTTATCAGCTTAATGCAGGTGGTTTCTTTTCAGAATGTAAACTAAAGAACTGGGCTCTGATCCAGGCCAGCACATGTTAATTTTTAGGCCAAAAGCGATGTCATTAAAGTCTGTGCATAAAATTAAACAGTTTTTTTTTTTGTTTGTTTGTTTGTTTTGTTTTGTTTTTTTCTTTTTGCTTGGATCTAAACTTATATTGGCATGAGATCCTAGTCCTGTCCTGTCTCTTCTGGTCTTTCCTTTACTTTCTTTTCTCGTTACTCAGGAAATCAAAAGAGTGAAACTGTGATACACTACAAAATTCTGTGGAGGACTGTAAAAGTTTTTCCAGTTCTCACTGAAAACTGTGTAGACACCTGGAAACTTTACTTTTCTACACATCAGCTTGTCACCATTTTTCAACAGCTAGTTTATACCATAATGACACAGTAAGTGGGAGCCTAAGTCATTCTCTCCCTGCTGACGAAGTAATCAACATACACCTGTTTTCTGCTAGAAAAAACACAGCAGTTGATGTGGTGACTTTTTAACCGGCAAGATGATGATAAACTAGCATGCTCTAAACAACTGAATCTGACAAACTTTCTTTTACTGTTTGTAAATTGAACAAGAGAAGCAGGACACTAGCACATTGTCGTGGTTTAACCCGGCCGGCAGCTAAACACCACGCAGCCGTTCACTCACCCTCCCCACTCCCTCTCTGGTACGGGGGAGAGAAATGGAAAGTGAAGCCCGTGAGTTGAGATAAAGACAGTTTAATAAGACAGGAAAATAATAATAACAAAAATAATAATAACAATAATAATAATAATAATACAATGGTGATAATAGGAAAGTAATAATAATATGTACAAGTGATGCACAATGCAATTGCTCACCACTCGCTGACTGATGCCCAGCCTAACCCCGAGCAGTCCGGCCCCCCTCCCCCCCCGGCTAGCCACCCCTATATATTGTTTAGCATGACGTCAGATGGTATGGAATACCCCTTTGGCTAGTTTGGGTCACCTGTCCTGGGTCTGTCCCCTCCCAGCTCTTACTGCACCCACAGCCTGCCTGTTGGCAGGACAGAGCAAAAGGCTGAGATGTCCTTGGCTTAGTATAAGCACTGCTCTGCAACAATTAAAGCATCGGGGTGTTATCAGCACTCTTCTCATCCTAAGCCAAAACACAGCATTCCACCAGCTACTAGGAAGAAAATTAATTCTGTTCTAACTGAAACCAGGACACACATGCACCTCTTTCTGTGATGACAGACAACAATGTCAATGGTAAAAAATTATAATGGCCAGTAAAGATAGATCTCAATGATTCTTTCATCTGGGAAGCTAAAAACATTGCTTAAAACTATAATGTGAATAATCATCTATTTCCACATCATAAAGATTTCTGAAATCATTAAATAAATAAATAAATAATCTAAATTAAACTTGTCCAGGCATCTACATAAATCCATCAAAATTATAAGAACTTTCTCCTTATGGTCCACAGCCCATACAGGAAACAGCACATTATACAACCTAAGATCTTAAGTTAAAATAAATGAATGAGTAAATGAATAAATAAGGAGAAAAAAAAAAAGCTTCAAAAGTAACCTTCCCCAGAAAAGAACAGAGACCTCTTGCCAGTGCTTAAATATATGTAAAAACAGAGACTGTGTTAACTGCAATACTCCAAACAATTCTAGAACTGGACTACGTCCACCCACAAAAAGGAGATTAAAAATATTCCAATAGCCGAGCTATTGGAATAAGGAAATACCTCCTTGACTTCAACACTGAGGACATAAGAGTCATGACCTATCTGAAAAGATTCTATATTGCCTACACAAAGACATCTAGCATCCTATCTCTCATTGTGACAGACCTCTGTTGCTTTTTGTAACATCATCTCATGCTACCAAGTGGAGATAGGTATCAAAAAGAAAAAAATAATCTTGGATCCAGTAGCTGTCTCCCCAAACTCTTAAAGCTTTTGATTAATGCACTACCAGATATAACATATTTAAAATAATCACCTGAATCAGATGACTCCTTTAACCTCTCTTTGGTACCCATAGACTAACATGCTTTAGTCTCTGCACATTAGTATGATCCTTAACACATCATATATTAAAAAAAAATAAAAATAATTAAATATTGCAATTCTGTAGAGGATCCCATAGAGGATCCCGACATAGACCTGCTAGAGAGAGTCCAGAAAAGGGCCACAAGGATGATCAAGGGGCTGGAGCACCTCTATCAAGACAGGCTGGGAGAGTTGGGATTGTTCTCTCCCCAGAGAAGAGAAGGCTCCAAAGAAACCTTATAGCAGCCTTCCAGTACCTAGTGTGCCTACAGAAAAAGCTGAGGAGGAACTCTTTGTCAGGCAGCGTGAGAACAGGACAAGTGGCAATGGTTTACAGCTAAAGAGTGTAGATTTAGATTTGATATTAGGGAGACATTCTTTACTCTGAGAGCAGTGAGGCAATGGAACAGGTTACCCAGAGAAATTGTGGATGCCCCATCTCTGGAGGTGTTCAAGGCCAGGCTGGACTGGGCTTTGAACAACCAGGTCTGGTGGGAGGTGTCACTGCCCATAGCAGGAGGTGTTGGAAAAGCACACTAGCTTTTAATAGCTTAAAATACTGCCATAAGTGTTTCATGGAAGAGAAAGTTAAACACAGTTAATGTATCAGGACATTAACCATCCCCTGCTTACTTATTCATCCCCTGCTTACTTATTCAGTATACACTTTCCAGTTTTGAAGGAAAAAAAGCCTGGGTGATTCTAGTGACATGCATTCATTCTGTAGTACTGATTCACTTCAATGGTTTGCCATCATCTCATTGCAGGGAACGTGACACAGTTATCCTATCACATATATTCCAATAAAGTCTCTTTTCTTTGTGACTTCAATTCTGATCTGAACTACCAGTCTGTCTTGAACTGCTGACTACTTATCTCAGTCTTATTTTCTTAACCCAGCAAATCTTGGTCTTGTTCTCAGATTTCCAGGCTCAGACTAAGGCTCCTTGCTCAGTCGTCGCTAACATCACAGAGTAGTAATTTCCACACCCATTCTTCTTCTCTGAACATTTCCCTTTTGGACCTTTTCTTTCTGTTATAGTGTCTTCCTCTTTCTTTCTGTGAGGGTGATACTTGAGAGGAGAAAAGACAGGGTGGCTTCCCCTTACAGGAGGAGGAAAGCCCTTGGCCTCACATTGACATAAGCATAGCACACGCTGTTCTGCAAGTTTAGTTACTGAAGACTAAGGAGTCTTAATTCTTGTGTGAAACTTGACTGATCTCCATTAGTCAGTAGAAAACAATGATGGCACTACATCTTAAATATTACCTGTGACATTATTCCCTGTGATATATTCTTTTGTATTGCTATAGGTTTTTTATGATTCCACCAAAGATACAGATTATTTTGTATGCCTCTCTGAAAAATAAATGAAGAGTAATGCTTCTCATTCAAACTGCATGCCTTAGAAGTTGTGTAAGCCTTGGCTTTGCAGCGGCATTCTGAAAAGATCTGGTGAGTCCCAGCACATTTTATGCATGCGGCTAAGCTTTAAGCAGCTTGACCTGTTTAGGTGACTTTCTGCTTTAGCACAAAGCAATTTGGTTTTCACTGTATTTCAGGAAAGCCTAATTCTTCTTGTGGTTTATGCTGTTGTCAGCCCCGCAGCACTTGTTGTGAATCTTGTTTTAGTCCCTACTGTATGCATTTGTTTTTTCTCTCTTCCCCTAGACAATCATAAATTTTCTTTTTCTTTTCCTTTCTGTTTTTTTTTTTTTTTATGACAGCAGCAGATATTAAGCCAGAAATTGATTTTAAAACTTTACTAAAACTTTATATTTGATTAGATTTTATTCTATTAAAACCATTTCTACTTTTTTTTTTTTTTTTCTGATAACTTCTTTAATATTCTCAACATCAAAGATCCAGATTTTCAGGAAATGATTAACACATCTAGTTTAAAATGTATCATCTTAATCCTCATTTACTCAGGCGAACAGACTTCTTACATAATATTAAAAATACACAAATAAAAATGTTTCAAGGGGTATTTCACTATAACCAAATTACATTAGCTCTGCTTTTTGTTTCTGAAATTAGTAGAACTATAAAACTAAATAAAAGTCCTTTGCTAAGTATGGGAGAACAAAATGGAATAATCAAAGGCACAAGATATTGTATATTTTCTTAGTATTTTCCTAAATGTAATGAATAATTAGCAATTCTATCACTTATTTACTTCACATGCTACAGGTTCTAAGGGTAACTTCCCAAAGCCTATATTTATAGGAAACTGGCATTTCATGCTGCAGCTATTAAATACGGCCATATGTGCTGCCTTTTGTAAGAGAAAGCATCATCTATCTTTGGAAACATTTGTTAAAATTAAGAACAATTTAATAAAGTGTTCAACTAAAACTGAATTTAATATTCTCTTTTAATTTAATTCCATTTGAGTTTTTTTGCCAGCTTCATTACTATTAGACTACAAATACCTACCTTTTTTAGATTATTCAGCTGTGTAGGATTCATCCCAATTATTTTAAGCCATCTAAAACCTAGGTATCTAGTCAAAAAGAATCATCTGGCCATATAGTCACACATAGTCATCTAGTCATTAAGGAGATACAAGCATCCTCAGAGGCTGATTCATCCCACCCTCAGTTTACTATCTTAAATAGAAAGGATTAATTGTTCTAGGGAGATTCCTACTGGTGACACGTTAAAATGCTAGTAAATAGGTGGAAGTTTTTTTGTTTGTTTGCTTTTCCACTGTGTCCTGGCAAGTGTCAAGGCAATTCCCACTGGAAACAGGATCATGCAGTTCTGATTCTTTGTGACAGTCAGTAAGAGCTTATGAAATACCCTAGCACTTCACTGACTAGCACCTTATTCTGTTTTAAGCTTTTTCCTAAACTGTCATTATTTTAAAATATTTTGTATCTATTCAGTGTCTTCTGTGTTTTAAAGGTAATCAAGAGAACTTGTCAGCATTATTTAATGTTGACATAGATAAGGAATAGAGGTGAGCTGCTGATAATAGAATATTATGATCCATCTCAATGAATTTAATGTGTGATGAAATATGGACTCAGAGGACAGGTTTATGGTAGATGATTCCACAGTGACTAGAATTCAAGCTCAGAAGCTTTAAAGCATGCCTGTATGAACATGCTATAGTGGTTTTACCCCACTGGGAACATAAACACTCTACTACAACTTCTCACACTGTATTTGGTTTACATGGCAAGGTTTCAGTAGCAGGGGGTCTGCCTCTGTGAGAAGAGTCCAGAAGTTGTCCCGTGTTAGATAAAGGCCAGTTTCAGTCATCTCCAAGGTGATCCACCTTGGAGAGGAGGATGTAGAAGAGTATGGTTGTGGGGAAAGTTGTTCTTTGTTTTGAGTTTCTCACTGCTCTAGCTTCTAAGTAATAGGTAATAAATTACATTAATCTCCTTATGTTGAGTCTGTTTTGCTTGTGATAATTGTTGAGTGATCTCCCTGTACTTATCTCAACCCTTGAGCCCTTTTCATTGTATTTTTACCCCTTTCCCTTTGAGGAAGGGGAGTGAGAGAATAGTTGTGGTGGAGCTCATCTGCCCAGCTGTGTAAAACCACTACACATTCACCTTCCTCAAAAGAAGAGAAAGGGAGAAGAAAGTATATTGGAAAGATTGGAAAGAAAAAAAAAAAAAGTCTCACAGGCTGAGATAAGGATAATTTAACAAAAGGGAAAAGGAAGAGGGAAAACAAACAAACAAACAGCAATCAAAGGCTGCATGGAAGCAAAAAGGGAAGGAAAAAATATTTAACTCTCATCAGTTAGTTATGTTCATCCACATCCTGGAAAGCAGGGCCTCAATACACATATCAGTTGTTTGGGAGGACAGACGTCTTCCTTCCCCTTTCCAAT